CCCTACACTATTCTTTATTTTGTATGCCTCTTTCATACCTCTCTTCCTCTAACCATTTTCATTGCTCTCCTCTAGCCCTCTACTCTTTGATTAGGATCCATCCAAAGACTGGGTTCAATATCATGCTACATGCATGCGCAAATATTGCCATCTTCGCCTACACTCCAGCTTAAAACAATGTCGACTAAACTGAATTATGGGTGCTCTCTTGGTCATTTCATATTTGATTTTACTTTAAACAGGCATCTCTAACATATTTGTTATAGAGAAACTGGTAAGTTTTCATGGGGGTGGAAAATGAAAGAACTAAATAAAATGAGTACAACTTAGGTATCTCTCTTTGGGCTGCCTTGCTGAGATATATATTCCAGGCACTTATGCAGAATGCAAAGAATATGTATTACAAACTAAAGTATCTAATGAACCAGCAACCGTAATAGAATATGAACCTGCCAAGTAACTAGGTAATTGTAATGTATTACCATCCGCAAAATCATCTGAACTAAAATCCTGGTGAGGAGTCTGTACTTGACATTCCACAGCATTTAATTAAAAAAAAAATACAGAGAAATAGAAAGAGCGAGCGAGACCATGCGAGCTGTGAAGTTTGAGATGTGCCTTTCTGCCTACGCGCACTCACACACAGGGGTTCTGAAATCATTGTAATATCCTTCAACTTGATGAGCTCATCTGTTGTGTCCAGAGGGATCGCCAATAAATATTGATAAAGGATTAATTGGAATTCAGTATTCATTTAGGGAGATGGGCTCTACTTTTCATATCGCACCATTCCGATTTAACTCTTTCACTGCTGCTTTGTGTGGTCCAGCACCGTTCTCCACTTAATTTGAGTCAGTTGGTAATTACAGCATACAAAGCATTTTGGAAACAGGCATCCATTGTTTGGAAAAACACAGCACGTTTTTCAGGTACCTTCAGCTGCATCATAGTAGCTACTCCTGCATATCTGACTCTTGAAGTCTTACAGAAAATTAAATGCCACCAGCAGTGCTACTGAAACATACCCTAAAGTTTATGGGCAAGCTGCAGAAGCTTGTAAAATGCCAAGGGACTTGTTTGGTTTAATTACATAGAACCTGTTCCATAAATTGCATGAACACAAACAGCGCTTCCTGCTTTGTGACCTCTTCAGGTAAATGGAAAGCAGGCAGAACCCCCACAGTCGGCTCTGGCTCAAAGAGTCTACAGGCTAAACATACAACCCCCACTGAGAATCCATAATCTGCATCTTCAGGTATGCACAGGCTTCAGCAGCCTGGACTCGACCAAAGAAGAATCTGTTGTGCATACTTTGCTCTTAATCGTGACCAGAGGCTTTGGGGGTGCAATTGGTTAAGAAAAGACATGGAAAGAGAATAATATTTTGTAGTTGGAGCACCTATCAGCACATCTGCTCTTCTTGTATAAAGACAACCGATCCCTCGGCTTTGAGAGGTGAGGCGAGACAGGTGTGGCAATCCTCCAACACGATCGATCCGCTTGTGGAGATGGTTCCATGAAGGCACTTCCTGCAAAAGCAGGAACTCTAAACTTCCACCGCTCACTTTGGTGACATTGAATTTAGTTCTGGGGAAACTCTTGGGAAGGAAACCTTAAGTGAGGGAGGTGCCATATTTAGAGATAAAGATAAGAGCTTGTGCTCAGTTATCACGCTCTAGCAGCTGACCCGTTTATTTGGACAACGCATGAAGTCAAACTTGGTGCTATTGGAGGCAAATGAACGACAACGCCGTCCAGGCTTAATTCAGGTGGGCAGCGTGTAATCTTTACATATGCAGCTGGCTCGTGCGTTCTGCCCAGACCAGCCTGTAACACTGCTGTTATTACCACCCCTGCCTTCCTTACTGAATGGGCTGCTGGTTGGACTAAAGTGGACAGAATTGGGGCTGATGCAGACAAAAAAATGACTCAGTGCGAGGATGAGTCAAACTTCATTCACCTTGTGACAAGGCATGTTTGAATGCAGGATTCCAGAGGTGTGAAAGCTGCCTTCATTGCTCCATCTTCACTGTATACTGCTTTCAGGCACTTCCTGAAAATGCACATGGTGGGGGAATTGGGGATGGTTTCTCTGCTGTGCTGAGCATGCCCTGTGTTCTTTTTCTTTCCCGGCTAATGCAGGAGGCAACAGGACACAATCAGAAGCCCATAAAGACAAGCATTTTACTACACGTGGCCTTATCTTAGTTCAGCCAAGCCTCTTAGCTGCTGTCTTACTTTAACCCTTAAACCCTTTTTGTTGGTAAGTTTTCTTTTGCGGCTCTAACGTGTAGTAACAAGAATGTACCAGTCTCATTACCTAAAGAAATAAGACCCCAGCACTCCATACTCTGTATGTGGCATTAAGTCTGCTGAAGCCAAACTTTTCCAGCTTCTGCCTCCCCTACTGAACTCCTCAGGCATCCTCATCCTTCCTGCAAATGAGACACATACCCTAGTGGGATCAGCTGGAAGCAGATATGATTTTAAGTGCTAATTATGGCTGCCATTGAGAAAGGGGAAGTGCTCCCGCTTGCACTGTAAACTTGGGCTGTTTGCACTTGCTGAGCAGACCAAGGTGCTATCTGTTTGCTCTTCTGGCCAGCAATGAGACACTGGGGGAGACAGAGTCTGCTTTTAACTCTTCACTTCTGATTATGTGACTTTACAGTTTAGAACAGAATAATAAAAACAGAAGTTAAAATAAAACAAAAACCCTCCAAGTTTCATGATAGGAGAAGTGTATACCCAGGAAGACAGATATTTTACTATATAGAGAAATAAAGCAGATAGCATCAAATGTAATCCCAATGTAAGGATACAACTAAATAGTTTGATAAGACTGATATAACACCTCAGCTCTCTTGGGGAAAAAACAGACCTTAGATGTCATCAGGGACAAAGACTTTTACCTTGGGATCCTACAGGTTACAAGCCCTTGTCCCTGCGAAGGATCTGAGAACACTTTTCCTGGGACAACCACAGCTAATTCAAGTTAACTGCTATTCATTTCATGGACATGCTGAATGTGTGCAGGGCTATTTCGTTTCCAGGTTGTGACTCAGGTGAATCGGAACTGACTCAAATTGAGCTGTTTTACCGTCAAAGATAACAGACGCACGAGGAAGGCAGTGCCCATCAAATCTCTGCTCCACCCTGAACCATTCAGCCAGACCACTACGGCACTTAACCTGGTCTAGAGTAGGAAATGATGGTTATTATCTGTCCAAGCTTTCAACATGCACAGCACATATGTATGGTGACACAGCACAAATAAGGATGAGACCCTGTCCCAAAGAGAATACAACTGAAGTTAAAACAAGAACAGGAGGTGATGACAGACACAGGCTGGAGTTTGCCTGACTGATGGTTTCACGTGTTCCCATTTTCTTAACTTTACCCAGACTGTTGTCTAAAAGGAAAGGAGTTTTAGAACAGAAAAGGGAAGACAGTGTGATTAACATTATGATACATTGGAAGACCTTATCATAAACAATCCCCATTGGAAGTCATTAAAAAACCAACTTTTATTAGCCAGGAGAGTACAAATAGCCTTCACCTCTTATGCCTGTACTCAGCTACTATTTTTTATGCCAGAAAGCTACTCAGAAACCCCGCTCCAACTAACTATAAAGTTTGAGTGCTCCAGAGGTTCAAAGGTAATTGCAAAAGAGGAACGATGAATGCAGGGGACTTGCATCTGTAGCTGACTTTGGCAGGTTTTTTTGCATTCTAATTAATCTGGAGTAAATGAATGTAAAAAGCATGATGGTTTCTGAACTAACAACCATCTCTCATCCTGTGCAACTGAGATCTTCTGCTGTACAGCTCTAACGTGTTTAATGCTTTGATGAGTCTACATTGTCAGAACTTCCTTTAGGCCACGTGTGCTAGCTCTAGGAGAAAGCCCAATTTGAACAAAGAACAGACTGAAACAGAGGAGCAGATGGGATTACTGGACCCTTGCCTCCGTGGGTGAGGACCTCTCCTGGTTAGGAAGACGAGCCTTGTGTTCATATATTCCTCTGGCACACAGAGGGTAAGAAGAAACTGCTCCAGTATATATCACTGATGGCAGGAAAAGGTGAGATCCAAGCCTAGATTCCTACCTACGTTTTTTTTTTTAAACTCTTGTGCAACTCCACTGGCTTCAGTTAAGTTTTTCCCCAATTTACTCAGGTGTGAGGTAATGAGACGAATGAGACAGACCCAAAATCTTTTCACAGATTTTGTGAAAATGAGGAAGCCTCTCCCTCCTCACTATAATCATATCTGGAAGGTGGCCAAAGGTGTGGGAAAAGTGTTAATAGGGCTACTGACATTGTATTCCTTAGCAATTAAAAAGGAAAGCATGTCCTTCTGGGCTAGATGCTATTAACACAAAGAGTCAGGTGGAGCAGGGGAGTCCAGACTTACTTTAAACAGCAAGCAATCCCCTTGGTGCTCAGCATAAATGGAGGTGAGCCGGTACTGGTTCTCCGTAGTGATGTCAATCTGGTACCCAGTCAGTGTGTAGCACACCTTGCGAAACTCCTGGATCTTGGTTTGGAAAACCTCTTTCAACCGCTGGTTTTTCAGTTCTGCACTTTCCACTTGCTTCTTAAGCTCTAAGGAGAGAGGCAGGGATGTGGAGAGGGAAGGGAAGGGAAGGGAAGGGAGAAGGCATTTTGTTATGTTACATAACCATCAAGTGGGACTTGCACCTTATTTATGAAGTTAGCTAAGCCAAGTGAAATGCAAGGGTTACCCCAATAAGAAAACGAACAAATAAGCAGTGTCTAAGAAATCCAATGAACTGAGGGCTCTTCCCCAGCCAAGCAAGGATAACCCACAGTTGAGCTGCATATTTTAGGGTCAGTAAAAGAGGTTAAACTGGGATCTGAAGAAACAGACAAGTTCCACAAGGGCTGGATTTGTCTTTTGCTTGGTTCATCTTTTAAAAATAAGCTACAACATTCAAAGC